TTGATAGGCTTAATATCACAGCATAACATATCAAATATAATAAAACATGATAAAAACCAAAAAAACTTTTAATTTAAAAAATAATTAAATAACTGAAGTATTAAACATAGTGTACTTTCGTATTATTTTTTGAAATATTCATCGAAATTAAAAAATCTCCCGACTTGAATTTGCATGAATTTCTCATCATCTTATACTCAATTAAATTAATTTTATACGAGAACGAGAGTCATGGGTTTTAAATTCTTGACCATCTAAGAAAAAAAACAAAATCTAAAGTGAAAGGACCCACCAGAGCCAAGTAACCACATAGTCTGACAAACAGTTGTCAGTCGGTTAAGAAATCCGGGAAATTTAACTTACGTGGACAAAGGAAAAAAGAATCAGACTCTCAAAATTTCCAACAACTCTCGTGCTCAGTAAGGTCTCCTAACTTTTCTTTCTTTCTCGGATCCAGGATCTCTACCTCAATACAGAATGTCGAGCTTATTATAAATCTTCGTGCTCCGCGCGTTGCCACAGCTTATCTGACGCTGTCATCTTTATCTCCGCTTACGACTGCTGTAACGTTTTCACGTGCGATACGAGCGTCATAAGAGCATCTCCTGGAAGACATAATTTCGTAAAATGCTTTTTTTTTTTTTTTTAACATGCATTTCAATTGTTTAGAAGTTAGCTGTATTTTAATATATAATTATTTTAACAACTTGATATAATTTAGTTAATTTGATAGATTTAAATATAATTTAAATAATTTTTAATTAATTAAATATTAAATAAAAATAAAAAACTAATGTATATCAACTTGGATAAATTTTATAAATCCATAATACGAGTTATAAGACCAAAATAATCTTATAAAAATTAAATTAAAAAAATATGATTTTTTTAGAATATTATTTTAATATATTTTTAAATAAAAAATATTTTAAAAAATAACCGATATAATAATCTCATAAACTACTAAAAAATTTTAAAAGAAAAATCTATATAAATATAAAGAGTGTGTTTAATTTTGTGTTCAAAAGATACTTTTAAAAATTTTTGATATTTTTTTGTTTGAAATTATTTTTTAATAATTTTTAATTATTTTGATGTGTTGATATAAAAAATAAATTTTATTTTTTTAAAAAAATATTTTAATATATTTATAAATAAAAAATACTTTAAAATAATAACTGATACACGAATCTAAAACACTATCACAAGGACCTTTATGTGAATTGACTCTGAAATAATCCAGCAAGAATATATTGGTAGATATTCCCCAAGAATGTGAAAGATATCTGTATTTTTTTAAAAATGATTTTTCATAGTGCTTTGCGGATCGATACGCACAAGATGCATGATTTGAAAGGGTGAAGTTGACTCGTGGCCACTCGAAAATTCTCGACGGAATAATTGAACGTGTAACGACCACTTAGTTGTCGGGGTGCATGAGAATGTAATTCTATTGCTTATTAAAATATTTTTTATTTAAAAATATATTAAAATAATTTTTTTAATTTTTTAAAAATTATTTTTAATATTAATATATCAAAATATCTAAAAATATAAAAAATAATTAAAACTAAAAGAATAAATAAATATTCATATTTTTTTCAAAAATATTTTTGAAATAAAAAAATAAATAGAATAGATATCTTACTTACAAACCACACCGGCCAATATCCACCCAATGAGCAGTGTTCATTAAAAGCTTGCTTCATATTATAATAACTTTTGCGATGGATTGAAAAAAATAGTTTTATAAAAAATACTTTTTAGTTAAAGTTGATTTGATATTTTTATATATTTTGTTATAAGTATGGTTAAATAAAAAATAATTTAATATATTTAATTAAACATACTTTTCAAATTGATGTTATAAAATAACTAAAAAAGATATATATTAATATTGATGATTTTTAATTCAAATTTGTAGATTTAACTGCTATTATTACATCATTAAATAAATAATATTTTATATCAAATATTTTTTATTATCCCATTAATTTATCTATAATTTCATTACGGATGAAATTCATCTGATAAGAACTATATGATATCCGCCCAATGAGCAGTGTTCATTAAAAGCCTGCTTGATATTACAATAACTTTTGCGATCATGAATTGAAAAAAATAGTTTTATAAAAAATTCTTTTTAGTTAAAGTTGATTTGATATTTCTATATGTTTTGTTTGTTAAAAGTATGGTTAAATAAAAAATAATTTAATATATTTAATTAAACATACTTTTCAAATTGATGTTATAAAATAACTAAAAAAGATATATATTAATATTAATGGTTTTTAATTCAAATTTGTAGATTTAACTGCTATTATTACATCATTAAATAAATAATATTTTATATCAAATATTTTTTATTATCCCATTAATTTATCTATAATTTCATTACGGATGAAATTCATCTGATAAGAACTATAGTTTACATAGTTTTTTAAGCGTGTAACAAAATTAAGTAAAATATCATAAGAAATAAAATTAGAATTGCGATCAAATTTCACAAATACTATGTTATCATGCGATGTTCTTCTGATTTATGTATCATGTGATGTTCTTCTTATTTATGTAGTGTTATTGAATAATAATAAACACTAATTTTTGAATAAAATATAATTTTTAAAAATTTAAATTTTTTTATCAAATAAGCACGATCCAATGAACACTGTTTACATAAACAGTGCCATTAAAATTCACTTAGCATTATTGCTTCTCGCGTTGCCAGGTGATTTATAGATACTGTTCATCTCAAGAAATAAACAATACCCAGGTGAATTACATGAGAAGTAGTTCTCAGCTGTTGTGTGCTAAACAGTGGTTTGAGAAAATAATTTATAATTCACCTGGTATAGAAACTGTTCATTCCAGGTGAATTACATAAAAAGTAATTTTTAGTTACTGTGTGCTAAACAGTGGTTTGAGAAAATAAAATCAAATTTTACAAATACTATGTTATCATGCGATGTTCTTCTTATTTATGTAGTGCTATTGAATAATAATAAACACGAGTTTTTAAGTAAAACACAATTTTTAAAATTTTAATTTTTTTTTTTTAGATTAACGTGGGTTCCACCAGATAATAAATTGTTTTTTTTATATTACCAAACACTTAATTTACACTATTTATTTTAAAAATTAAAGTTACCGTGTAAACAAATACTTTCTGAATACACAAATTTATCAGCAATAATATTATCTGGCCAAATAAAGAAATCTATAGGAAAGGAAAAAAAAAAAAAAGATATGAAGGTTCTGTTTTTAATCAGATTAGACGCGGTCCAATAAACACTGTTTACATAAACAGTGCCATTAAAATTCCCTTAGCATTATTGCTTCTCACGTTGCCAGGTGATTTATAGGTACTGTTCATTTCATGAAATAAACAATACCCAGGTGAATTACATAAGAAGTAGTTCTCAGCTGTTATGTGCTAAACAATGGTCTGCGAAAATAATTTATAATTCACCTGGCATAGACACTGTTCATTCCAAGAAATAAATAGTGTCCAGGTGAATTACATAAAAAGTAATTTTCAGTTACTGTGTGCTAAATAGTGGTTTGAGAAAATAATTTATAGTTTCACCGGACAATAAATTGTTTTTTTATATCACCAAACACTTAATTTACATAATTTGTTTTAAAAATTAAAGTTACCGCGGAAACAAATATCTTCTAAATACACAAATTTATCAGCAAGAATATTATCTGGCCAAATAAAGAAATCTATAGGAAAGGAAAAAAAATAAAAATATGAAGGTTTGGGTTTCTCATAAACTTGTAATTAATGGAACCAGACAAAAAATTAGCATGTTAATTGTAGCTATTTTTGTTGAATCTAATCCAATGATAAGAAATAATCTATACAAAACCAATGGTCATGATTGATGAGCGAAGGACATGATTTTTAATTTGAATCTTTTTATAAAATGAAACAATTTTGATATATAATTTCATAATATTCTCTCATCTCCAGCGTCTGGGACACCTTACCGGCAGACAAGCACTACCAAACTGCACGTCACAATTCTCACGCAAGCCTCCTAGTAACATGTCACGTGGCACATGCTGGCTCACATGCAGGATCATGGAGGTTGTCAAGGAACGCGTGAATCACTTACGATGTTTATGTTCGAACCGCTGGCATCTCTATCCCCAGTTTTTTAATGGCCGTCGCTTGCTGATGATCAGAACAAACGCGCCTTACGGGTTATTTCTTTTTATTTCCATCCTTTAAATTATAGGATAATTTAATTCACATGTTTCGTTATCTAATTAGACACTGTTAATTATTTTGGATTTTAAATGCTATATGCTTTCCTAAAAATCACCTCGACGGGATCGTGTATGTTTGTTTAGAGATGAAGGTTAAAGTTTAAGTGTGAAACCCACAAATAAAACTTAAAAAAATAAAAAAAAATTAACTTTTATGATTGAGTTTTATGCATAATTGTGATTAATTAATGAATTGATTTCTAAGTTATATAATATCGGTAAAAACCCCTTTTTATTTATATGATTCGACCTATAATTTTTTATTTTATTTTATTAGACAACATATCCATCCTAATAATGAAGATTGAATATAATAACTATGTTATTTAACATGAAAACAGATTGAATATAATAAAAGATGTATAAATTAAAACACTAATTTATTGATATCCATCCTAATAATAATTTCGTCAAGTTGATGCGCGTAATTATGTTTTTAAAATTACTTGAGAGAATTTAATAATGTAAAATTAGTTTAAAAATATCATCAATTTGGTGGTTGAGAGAAATAATACAATCATACCTGTAAGTCAAGTGGTTGGCCAAAACATTTTACCAAGTCCTTTTTTTTAATTTTTATTATTATTTAAATTTGTTTATAGTTTAATCCAGTGAAGTTAATAACTTCAGATATCAAGTTTTTATTTTTATTTTTTTTATAAGTACTATCATTGTCCGAACACTTATTTTATATAGAAAAGAGAAAAAAATATCACCCATAGAAACGAATGACCGACGTATGGGTTGATTTTGGGGCAAAATAATAATCTGGTTGCTTAGGCAAGTCAGATTGCTGATGGTTTTTGACAACCATGGCTGCTAGATGAAAAATCTTAAATCTTTTGGAAATTACAATGAAATTAAACAGCAGAGAAGAAGAAGTGGGTCTATCTTTTATGAATCTATGGACTAAAATAGAGTCTAACCAAAAATAGTGGCACCAAGTGCGAAAGCATCGTGCGATGAATGGAAATAGATAGCGCGAGACTTCAAGTCGTCCATTTCAATCGCCACTGCCGTTGACAGGGAAAAACCATCGGTGCCCATTTAACAATCCTTACAACTCTCTCCCTCTGTGTGTGTGTGTGTGTGTGTGTATGTGTTCTTTCCAGCAGGCAAGGCATGAACAATCCTTGTATATTTGATTTGTCTGCTTTTCAATTAATATAAAGCAAGGAGACTGCGCAGCAGTGATAACCATGGAGTGCCAAACGACAGCCAGAAAAAGGGCTTGCAGATCGATTGAGAGCAGGTTTCAGGTAAGTCATATTTTATTGAGGCTGGTCATTGCATGAAGGAGAAATATGGCTCCATCACACTAATTTTTGAGGTCCCTTGTGCCCTAGCTTCCCCTTTCTTGCGTTGCGGATTTAGAATTAAATATAATTATAATACAGCATTCATCTTTTGCAACTCTTGCTGGTTTTTTAGTTTCTTTTTTACTTGTATAAATGGCAACACCATTGCTGATGGAAAAGGGAAGTTGAAAATTGATGATCGGCGACCATAATTTGTTAGTTTAATTCTCAACGGACAAAGGCAAAAGGAATCCTTCCTTGTAATTTTCAATACCCTGAATCTAGATGGATTGATTTTCATTGTTATCGTTCTCAATTTTTGCTGCGTACTGCCCATCCTTCTTGATAAGTAGTCAGACGAGCGGCACCATTCCTAGACCTTGATTCCTTTGAGTACCAGTCAAGTCCCTTGATTCTTAATTTTATTTTAGGTCCTTGAACAATGCTACATTTAAAATCAAGTCCTTCTGATAGTTTTTATAGGATTTTTCTTCTTGTTGTAGGTATTTTTCCAAATCTTCTTCCTTCTATTATATAAAATATTGTTTTTAATGGAAGTGACCTGCATCTTATAATGCAAGAGTTCTTAAATTATGGATGAAACCCAAGAAAAAAAAAAGAGGAAATGGCTTGATTGAGTTTCACCTTAGAATCCCTAGATCTTATGCTTGCCCAACCCGCGAGCCCTGACACCACTTGATCTTTAGACCCCACGTCGACCTGACCCTAGCATCCTACATTCAATGTTAGCCTGACTTTTGAGACTCGTGGTCCAACCCCACTTGTCCATTTCTTGATGTTTTGTACTCTATCCAACTAACAAATCAAAATTATATATTGATGTAAAATTTAGTTATAAAAACTTTTTTTTAATGTTTTTTAAAGAAACAAAAATATTTATGCTCTTACATTTTGATTTCAAAAGTTCGAAAACGAAGAGAAAATCATATTCGAATTATGGAATACGCTATCTTGACGTTGACACGCAGAGGTGGAACCCATAGCCACTCGTCTGTAAATTAAGAAAAATGCATGCAAGTTCACCCAACCCTTTCACGGATCTGAACTCTTCACCTTGGGAACGACAGCTGGGCAGCTTGAAAGATGCATGGCCGGTCACCAAATTTCAGGTACCAGCTTGGCAAGGTACCAAGCAACCACTTACATTAGTTCTTGAATAATACTCGATATTTTAGGCTTTTTCCACCTATATTTATATTAGGGATTCTAATACTGTAAGATGAAAATAGGACAAGGAGTTACAATGTACATCAGTTCCAGTTCCGAGGAATTTCAACAAGTTTTTCCTTTTCTATTTCCCCATAATGTTTTTTATCTGAAATTGTCATCTTTTTCTATGATCATTTATTGACGAGGACGGTAGAGAATAAATATATTATGGAGTTCTATCAAAGTAACACATAACTTGAAAAGAATGTTAATTGCAGCTCAATTAGTCAAATAATTAAAGAATCAGTCATTCGCAGACAAATTAATTGCTTTGTTTAGAGATCTTTTTATTTAATTTCCTTTCATTTTCATCACTCACGTTTTCTTTTTTAGTGGAAGCCTGAAAATCTGGGTATTTTATCAGTGTCGATGCTCACAGTTTTTCAGCTATGACATATAATTAAGATCGGTTAAGTGAATTTTATATATATAGCTGTGCATTAAACATTAATGTAATCTTGCATCAAAGAGATAAATATCATCGTGACAGAGTGTCATACTTACAGGATCCCTTTGAAAGGGGAAGAAAATCAAAATGGGCAGCACGGTTCCCTTTGGCCATTAAAAATCTTATTGGGTTATGATTTGAAGATTGTTGTATTTGTATTCAAGATTTTGTTTTCCATGTTGCAGAAAAGAAAAGGAAGTGGAAAAAGAAAAACAAGCATGAAAAGGTTGGAAGCAGAGATGGCAGAGATCGGTGAACAGCAAAAAAGAGTTAAAAAAGGGCAAATGGAAATAAGGGAGAGGTTTAAGGAGATGGAATTTGAGTGTGATCAACTCAAGAAGGAAACATTCCTTATCTCGAAACAGGCTGCACGCAATCAAGAACGTCTAAATCTTATGTTCAAAATCGTAAGAGCTCGAGAAGAAAATGATATTTCTGAAGCTGACAAACTTACTCAATCTCTTCGGTTAGTTTTACCTCCCTCTCCCCCCCCCTCTATGTGAGCTTATCCTTCAATTTGAAATTGGCTGAACCATAAAAGATCCCTTCAACTTAATTAGTTTAGTTTTTATTATTTTCTTTGAAGAAGTAATTTAAAAATATGTCCTGAAAAGAAGAAGAAGAAGTCCTCTTGCTGTCTGGCTTAATTAGCAACATCACAGCTGAAGGATCGCATTTCATCTGGCTATTATATAAAATCATAGTTTTTCTTTAAATACCAAATCCACCAAGAGGACAGAGGAAACCGTTAAATGTGGAGCAGATAGACGCAAGCCAGCTCAATACATATTTTTCTATTTTGCTCGTTAATTAAGAGTAATTGTATTTATCCCGAGGAGATCATTCTGGTATGGAAAATCCAGATCATGATATTGATGATCTTCTTGCTACTGATTTATGGGATCGAACTTTTCAAATGTTCAATAACAAGCTAGCCTGCGATTTTCAACTTAAAGAAATAATGCCTGCCGAACCAAAGTTAGAGAAACCAACTTTTGATAGGATGAGGCTATCAACGTACTTTGGTTAGGATGCTAGGAGATATGAAGGATAGCAATACAGGTCAGACATTGTTAAAGGGCCAAATCTCCAGATTGTGAAAATACTAGTACTTTAGTGACAGTACTTTGATTGGGATGCTATATGCATAATTGTGATTAATTAATGAATTGATTTCTAAGTTATATAATATCGGTAAAAACCCCTTTTTATTTATATGATTCGACCTATAATTTTTTATTTTATTTTATTAGACAATATATCCATCCTAATAATGAAGATTGAATATAATAACTATGTTATTTAACATGAAAACAGATTGAATATAATAAAAGATGTATAAATTAAAACACTAATTTATTGATATCCATCCTAATAATAATTTCGTCAAGTTGATGCGCGTAATTATGTTTTTAAAATTACTTGAGAGAATTTAATAATGTAAAATTAGTTTAAAAATATCATCAATTTGGTGGTTGAGAGAAATAATACAATCATACCTGTAAGTCAAGTGGTTGGCCAAAACATTTTACCAAGTCCTTTTTTTTAATTTTTATTATTATTTAAATTTGTTTATAGTTTAATCCAGTGAAGTTAATAACTTCAGATATCAAGTTTTTATTTTTATTTTTTTTATAAGTACTATCATTGTCCGAACACTTATTTTATATAGAAAAGAGAAAAAAATATCACCCATAGAAACGAATGACCGACGTATGGGTTGATTTTGGGGCAAAATAATAATCTGGTTGCTTAGGCAAGTCAGATTGCTGATGGTTTTTGACAACCATGGCTGCTAGATGAAAAATCTTAAATCTTTTGGAAATTACAATGAAATTAAACAGCAGAGAAGAAGAAGTGGGTCTATCTTTTATGAATCTATGGACTAAAATAGAGTCTAACCAAAAATAGTGGCACCAAATGCGAAAGCATCGTGCGATGAATGGAAATAGATAGCGCGAGACTTCAAGTCGTCCATTTCAATCGCCACTGCCGTTGACAGGGAAAAACCATCGGTGCCCATTTAACAATCCTTACAACTCTCTCCCTCTGTGTGTGTGTGTGTGTGTGTGTATATGTGTTCTTTCCAGCAGGCAAGGCATGAACAATCCTTGTATATTTGATTTGTCTGCTTTTCAATTAATATAAAGCAAGGAGACTGCGCAGCAGTGATAACCATGGAGTGCCAAACGACAGCCAGAAAAAGGGCTTGCAGATCGATTGAGAGCAGGTTTCAGGTAAGTCATATTTTATTGAGGCTGGTCATTGCATGAAGGAGAAATATGGCTCCATCACACTAATTTTTGAGGTCCCTTGTGCCCTAGCTTCCCCTTTCTTGCGTTGCGGATTTAGAATTAAATATAATTATAATACAGCATTCATCTTTTGCAACTCTTGCTGGTTTTTTAGTTTCTTTTTTACTTGTATAAATGGCAACACCATTGCTGATGGAAAAGGGAAGTTGAAAATTGATGATCGGCGACCATAATTTGTTAGTTTAATTCTCAACGGACAAAGGCAAAAGGAATCCTTCCTTGTAATTTTCAATACCCTGAATCTAGATGGATTGATTTTCATTGTTATCGTTCTCAATTTTTGCTGCGTACTGCCCATCCTTCTTGATAAGTAGTCAGACGAGCGGCACCATTCCTAGACCTTGATTCCTTTGAGTACCAGTCAAGTCCCTTGATTCTTAATTTTATTTTAGGTCCTTGAACAATGCTACATTTAAAATCAAGTCCTTCTGATAGTTTTTATAGGATTTTTCTTCTTGTTGTAGGTATTTTTCCAAATCTTCTTCCTTCTATTATATAAAATATTGTTTTTAATGGAAGTGACCTGCATCTTATAATGCAAGAGTTCTTAAATTATGGATGAAACCCAAGAAAAAAAAAAGAGGAAATGGCTTGATTGAGTTTCACCTTAGAATCCCTAGATCTTATGCTTGCCCAACCCGCGAGCCCTGACACCACTTGATCTTTAGACCCCACGTCGACCTGACCCTAGCATCCTACATTCAATGTTAGCCTGACTTTTGAGACTCGTGGTCCAACCCCACTTGTCCATTTCTTGATGTTTTGTACTCTATCCAACTAACAAATCAAAATTATATATTGATGTAAAATTTAGTTATAAAAACTTTTTTTTAATGTTTTTTAAAGAAACAAAAATATTTATGCTCTTACATTTTGATTTCAAAAGTTCGAAAACGAAGAGAAAATCATATTCGAATTATGGAATACGCTATCTTGACGTTGACACGCAGAGGTGGAACCCATAGCCACTCGTCTGTAAATTAAGAAAAATGCATGCAAGTAAGTTCACCCAACCCTTTCACGGATCTGAACTCTTCACCTTGGGAACGACAGCTGGGCAGCTTGAAAGATGCATGGCCGGTCACCAAATTTCAGGTACCAGCTTGGCAAGGTACCAAGCAACCACTTACATTAGTTCTTGAATAATACTCGATATTTTAGGCTTTTTTCACCTATATTTATATTAGGGATTCTAATACTGTAAGATGAAAATAGGACAAGGAGTTACAATGTACATCAGTACCAGTTCCGAGGAATTTCAACAAGTTTTTCCTTTTCTATTTCCCCATAATGTTTTTTATCTGAAATTGTCATCTTTTTCTATGATCATTTATTGACGAGGACGGTAGAGAATAAATATATTATGGAGTTCTATCAAAGTAACACATAACTTGAAAAGAATGTTAATTGCAGCTCAATTAGTCAAATAATTAAAGAATCAGTCATTCGCAGACAAATTAATTGCTTTGTTTAGAGATCTTTTTATTTAATTTCCTTTCATTTTCATCACTCACGTTTTCTTTTTTAGTGGAAGCCTGAAAATCCGGGTATTTTATCAGTGTCGATGCTCACAGTTTTTCAGCTATGACATATAATTAAGATCGGTTAAGTGAAATTTATGTATATAGCTGTGCATTAAACATTAATGTAATCTTGCATCAAAGAGATAAATATCATCGTGACAGAGTGTCATACTTACAGGATCCCTTTGAAAGGGGAAGAAAATCAAAATGGGCAGCACGGTTCCCTTTGGCCATTAAAAATCTTATTGGGTTATGATTTGAAGATTGTTGTATTTGTATTCAAGATTTTGTTTTCCATGTTGCAGAAAAGAAAAGGAAGTGGAAAAAGAAAAACAAGCATGAAAAGGTTGGAAGCAGAGATGGCAGAGATCGGTGAACAGCAAAAAAGAGTTAAAAAAGGGCAAATGGAAATAAGGGAGAGGTTTAAGGAGATGGAATTTGAGTGTGATCAACTCAAGAAGGAAACATTCCTTATCTCGAAACAGGCTGCACGCAATCAAGAACGTCTAAATCTTATGTTCAAAATCGTAAGAGCTCGAGAAGAAAATGATATTTCTGAAGCTGACAAACTTACTCAATCTCTTCGGTTAGTTTTACCTCCCTCTCCCCCCCCCTCTATGTGAGCTTATCCTTCAATTTGAAATTGGCTGAACCATAAAAGATCCCTTCAACTTAATTAGTTTAGTTTTTATTATTTTCTTTGAAGAAGTAATTTAAAAATATGTCCTGAAAAGAAGAAGAAGAAGTCCTCTTGCTGTCTGGCTTAATTAGCAACATCACAGCTGAAGGATCGCATTTCATCTGGCTATTATATAAAATCATAGTTTTTCTTTAAATACCAAATCCACCAAGAGGACAGAGGAAACCGTTAAATGTGGAGCAGATAGACGCAAGCCAGCTCAATACATATTTTTCTATTTTGCTCGTTAATTAAGAGTAATTGTATTTATCCCGAGGAGATCATTCTGGTATGGAAAATCCAGATCATGATATTGATGATCTTCTTGCTACTGATTTATGGGATCGAACTTTTCAAATGTTCAATAACAAGCTAGCCTGCGATTTTCAACTTAAAGAAATAATGCCTGCCGAACCAAAGTTAGAGAAACCAACTTTTGATAGGATGAGGCTATCAACGTACTTTGGTTAGGATGCTAGGAGATATGAAGGATAGCAATAGAGGTCAGACATTGTTAAAGGGCCAAATCTCCAGATTGTGAAAATACTAGTACTTTAGTGACAGATTTTAAAGCATAATGCATAGCTTTCCTGTGCTTAGTTTTATATTTTATTGCAGAGAATGCATGAAGCACAACATGGAAAACAGTCCGTGACTAGCTATTTCTACATTCAAGTGATAAAGTAACGAGAAGGAATAATAAAGTATGCGCCCGCCATCCCATATCAGCATAAAACAGGAGTGCAAAAAGTAGCTTGCTGTTCTGCTTACACACACGAGATGGCATGGACGTGGGTTTATAAAATAAATATATTTAATAGTATTGAAATTATAAATTAGTACTAGATAAGTAATAAAAATTTAAAGTACGATAAAGTTAATATTTTAAAATAAAAAAAAAATTTGTGTTGGTGATAAAAAATTTAGAGACTGAATAAAATAACATGTAGCAATTTATAGTATTTTGTAAGAAAATATATAATGTTTTTGTCATATGATTTAGCTTTTCTTTGAAAAGATAAGTAATAAAAATTTAAAGTACAATAAAGTTAATATTTAAAATAGAAAAAAAAGTTGTGTTGGTGATTAAAAATTTAGAGACTGAATAAAATAATATGTAGCAATTTATAGTGTTTTTTAAGAAAAGATACAGAACTTTTGTCATATGATTTAGCTTTTCTTTGAATAAAAAATAAAAAAATTACAAAACTAAATTCTCTATCAATTTAAGATTAAAAATAAACCAATAATGATAATGTTGGAAGGAAAAAAATGCATGAGAAAAAACATTATAACAATCGACAATGTTTTATAAGGAAAACTACAATACTTTCTCTAATAAAATTGACAAATATAATTTTAGAAAAAAAATCATAAAAAAACTATTTAGAAAAATATTGTAGCAAT